CTGAGATTAGACAGGAGATTGGGAACTGTCGGCACTTCCAACAGGATAACGATCCCAAGCACAAAAGTTGGATTGAACAGCTGAAAATATCCCTAATATCATAACTTGGCCACCAAATAGTCCTTACTCGAATCTCACCGAAAATTTATGGGTATAATGTAGGAAAAAAAATGTCGCAGAATTTGGACGAATTGAAACGTTTTATGCAAGAAGAATGGCAAGGGTTAGTATATTTGATGAGACGGCGTTGTGAGCTTGTTATAGTGATCGCATATCTTACTAAATATGACATATCTTTCATGTGATTTCGTTTGTTTGTTACACACTGTATGTCATGAGATTCTCTCAAAAAGTATTTATCTAGCAACCTCATGTACCTATATTTTTTTCTTTTTTATTAGATCTGAAATTTAACAAAAGAAATGGATGATACTCCCGTTACAACGATTCTTAGAGGGGTCATCCTTAGTTCTTTAATGAAAGATAGGCATATAGCCCGGGCACCTGAGCCTGAGAGTTTTTTCAGAAGACATAAATATAAGATGATGATAGGCGGAACGATTCTTGGTGCTGCTTTAGGTCCTTTTGCACTCACCGGTGGAATAGCAGCCCTAGGGTTTGGTGAAGCAGGTATTGCAGCTGGATCTACCGCAGCATGGATGATGTCGTTATATGGTGGGTACGTCACTTCTGGTTCCATCGTGGCAATTTTGCAGTCAGTTGGTGCTGCTGGCTTAGGTCTTGGAGGAATTGCTGCTTCTAGTATTGGGGGAGGTACAATTACTGCAGCGATAGTAAGATTTCTGGCATCAAATCCCCAAAATTTGGAGGAATTGGATAATTTTGTCTTAATTACAAGTGAAAATGGACTCGATACACCTGCGAAGGTGACTTTTGACATACGGAATCAGCTTGTTGTTGACAATGGAGTTTTAAAACTTGAATCATTTCTTAGAGGATTCGATCTGGCTCTACCATTAATTAGATCCAGAGTTGGTCTGTTTGAATTTAGAATCAATGCAGATCATCCTGAAGGACCTGGTTTTTTATATGATCATTTGGCAAATACCTACGGAATTATGCATGTTACTTCGAGGGGGGATACCTGCGTCCTGAATTTAAATGACCAATGAATATTCAAAAAATGTTCATCGCTTCCACATAACCTCCTTTTTTTTTCATAGCCAAATACATATTAGAAAAATTTTTCTTTAGCGCACGTTATTACCTTTTGAATAATCATTATTATTTTATCCTCGTCACTTACAATATACTGTATATTGGGCTCTCCAGTATATGTATTCATATAGCGATTTAATCGAGAGAAAAGATTTTAGGGAAGACATAATTATTATAGAAAAGGAGGAAATCAATCTGT